GTCAATGATTTGTTTGTTGGGTATCAACACACCCTGATGAAGGGGATTGTTGCACTAAAATATCAGTCACCAGATTGTCTGGTCCAGACTTGATTATTCACATGTTTACACAGACTGCCCTACAGATGAAATGCAACCTTTCACAATATACAAACATTCTGTTTAACACAAGCGTTTGATTTTTATGCAGAAGTCCACATCCTACAGGACACGTGAAGATCCGGGGTAGAATAGGTTTTCAGCAACCCATGTTTGCCGTTAAAGGCGACTATGCTTGTCGTAAGAGGCGACTAATGGGATCGGGTGGTCAGGCTCGCTGACTTGGTTGATGCATGTCATTGATCCCATTTTGCATGGATCGATGCTCATGATATTAATCATTGGATTGTCTGGTCCAGACTCGATTATTTACATACCACCATCAATAAACTGGAATATTAATTGCTGAGTGCAGCGTTAAACAACAAACCAACCAACCAGCATCCTACAAGATGCTCCAGATTCAGCACATATTCTAGATTTATTAGTCATGTAAATTCTCAAGGTTTGTTTGTCTTTAATGGACAGATAGGGAAACATTTCAGATGAGGATGTATTTTCTCACACTGAAATGGGAGGTGCGTGTTTCCCATGTAACCCTAGCACCACCTAGCCCAGCCTCAGTGACCCTGTGCATGCCAGCCATGTTTAGGCTGAGCTTCATAGTTCAAATGTTTTGTAAATTTGACATATATGTATCTATGATATCCAAACAAGGGTTACACAGATTGTAATGCACATACTGAATCACAGACACTGGAGAATGCATTGCCATTCTTTCAATTTGCATCACTGTGTTAAAAATGTCATGCTTTAGTTGGTTTGTTTACGCAGCACATTTTTATTATTTAAAATAATTTTCTCTTATTTATTATTTTCTGCTTTTTTAACTCAGACCTCAAAACTGTTAAATTAGATTGGGCTTGTAAATGTCATAAATGTCATAAATGTCACAAATTTAATCAATTTAATTTTTCAAATTTTATATGTTTTTATTTGAATGTTTGTGTTCTTCACTAACACTATGATGATAATATTGGTTATGTTCAATTACCATAACTGAAGTACAAGAGTTTTCAAGGGTAAAGAAAGAAAGGTTGAGTCAGACTCAAACCTCAAAACTATTAGATTTGCTGCAAGATAGGGCTTGTAAATGTCATTAGCAATTTTACGAATAAAATTAAGATTTTTAAAATTTAGTCAGTTTAATTTACAATTTTTACATTTTTGTTTTGAATGTTTGTGTTTGTGTTAACACAATTATAATAATATTGATTATGTGTAATTATCATTACTGAAGTACAAGAGTTTCAAGGGTAAAGAAAGAAAAGTTGAGGCTGGACAGTGATTTACCCCAGTATACAAAAGATTGACTTCAGTGGACCCAGTACCATCTTGACAAGCAGTTTTGTTTTACCCCAGGGAAGGTCAGGGGTTTGATCCCTGGCTGTGTCATACCAAAAGATGTTAAAAGATGGTACTTGTTGTTACCCTGTCTGGCGTTCTGCATTAAGGGGTTGAAACAAGGACTGGTTAGGTTGGAGTCAGTATACTGTGTCTGAGTGGGGTATTCATGTTAAACTGCGGCATGGTATCTCAGTGGGCTTGCACTATATAATCAACATTAATCTGTACCAGAACAAGCAGCCACATGCACGCATGCATGCACGTTAATTTTGAATGCGACGTTAAACACCATTTCAACGTGGTCACCTTGTACCCCAGGGTATACAGATGTCTGATTAGCCAGATATCTTCTTCAAAGCCAAAGCTCTTTGGAATTCCGGGTTAAAATAGGTCAGCAGGAACCTATGCTAGTCTTAAGAGGCGACTAAATGGTGACTTGGTTGATTGCGTGTCGTCGTTGTGGATCATCATTCACAAAATCGATCACTGGATTATCTGGTCCAGATTTGATTATTTACAGCCTGCCATCATACAGCTGGAATGCTACTGAGTGCTGCATTAAAAAACAAACAAACAAATACTTCTTCTTATATATTAACTATTATGTTGTAACTATGTAAGCTGACACCTTCGGCTGGTAATTTAGTGTTGTTTTATTGCTCAGGGTCGTGTTTGTGTTATTGATAGGCAAAGAAATAGTCATTTTATAGGAGCATTTCTGGTTTAGGATTTCTAAAGTGTAAGATATATGTAAGAGTTTATCTGGACCTGTTCCGAGACTGAAATTCAGACTCAGGTTTGCAGCAAATGTCATTACAAATTCCCAACTTGGAATAACAACATTTCCAAATTCATGTTGTTGTCCTATAACCAGTGATATGGCTCTGTAGAGGCCACTTGTATTTCACTGATAACTGTCACCAATAAAAAGGATCAAAGAGGCTTTAATACTTAGTTTTACACTATTGCATTGAATATGTTGAATGTAATGTTAAAATATCTCCCAAGTTAGTCAGAGAAGAACTTGATCAAAAATCTGTATTTTTAAAAATAACAATATTTCCCCAATTTGCTTGCCAAGGGCTCTAACTGTGTAATCCCAGATACATCCTTGTATGAGGTGTTTGATGTGCGATGATGATGGCGAACTATTGCCCCGACTTTATAGGTCTTAATGTTTTATGACCTTGACAATGACCGTTGTTCATGATGGATGCAACCAGTAGGGCAGGGTGTGATCACCCTTTTGAAAGGAGAAAGGAACAAAATATAGAAAAGATTTTCTGAATCGTTCAGTTATAATAAAAAAAATTATATGCACATTTATAACAAGGCAAATCCATATAAAGCATCATCAAATCATCGTTACCCTACCAATGACGATCCAGGGTAGAATAGGTCATCAGCAACTCATGCCTGGCGTAAAAGGCGACTATGCTTGTCATAAGTGGCCACTAACAGGTGGTCAGGCTCCCTGACTTGGTTGATGCATTTCATCAAATCCAAATTGCATTGATCGATGCTCATGATGTCAATCATTGGACTGTCCGGTCCAGACTCGATTATTTACAGACCGCCGTTACATAGCTGGAATATTGCTGTGTGCGGCGTTTAAACAACAAACATACACGGGAAAATCTAAAGACTGCTGGGGATACTACTCTGTATTGTAAGACATCAGAGGCACATTGGTTGTCAACAAACAAACAAAATATCATTACCCAGGTCAGTGGATCAGTGTGCATATGATTTTATATTCTCAGCTCCCTGGGGAGTATACAAGCACATACTCGAGACATGTTAAATATAATTCCTTTAGAATTCCCAACACATGGTAAAAGTCCACATGGTACGTTACTCCCATGTGTATGAGTCATGTATGATACCTCCATGTTATATAACTCACACAGCGCGGGAGTTATCCTCAAGCATCTGTGACAACAACATCAGGAGGAAGCTGCTTCAATATTTAATTTAGTTCCTAGACTTGCTGTTCACAAATGTTCATGTATACAACATGTACAAATCAGATGTAGAGTTTGTTCTTTCTAACCATGCTAACGGGCCTGTATTTGTTTCTTGGGGTTAGGGGAGCCGTGCTGCTGTCATCATCTTCCATGTGTTTTTATGTTTTTTTTGGTTTTTTAACACATACTCATATTGTCGGGACAATGACAAGAGAACTATGTAATGAAGTACACTTACAACTTAGTTGTTTTTTTATACCCCCGACAAAATGTCGGGGGTATATAGTTATACCAAGGTTCCGTCCGTCTGTCCATCTGAAAACTTTGTCCGCGCGATTTCTCTTAAACTATTCAGTGGATTCATCTCAAACTTAGTACATATAATCTGTGGCATATGGAGAGGTGCAGTCAAAAGAAAATTATTTTTTTTATTAATTTTCAATTTTTTTATGAATTTTTCAAACCCTAACGTCCGTCTGAAAACTTTGTCTGCAGGATTTCTCTTAAAATATTCAGTGGATTCATCTCAAACTTAGTACATATAATCTATGTCATATCGAGGGGTGCAGTCAAAACAAAAATGTTGTTTTTATTTATTTTCCATTTTTTTATGAAATTTTCAAACCCTAACCCTATCATAGCTATTTAATTTGTAACTACTGACACACTAGGCGGGTCAGGGGTATTAGTGAGCCACGCTCACTTTTGCACTTGTTTCAGACAGTAAAGCAAACATGATGTATGATGGTGTCAGAACAATTTAAGGATCTAAATTTTTTTACTGTTGTCATCACATATATTTATCTATATCACTATTTAGTACCTTTTGTACTGTTGTGATTACAACATATTTCAGGATATTATCATTATTCATTGTAATTCCTTTTGCAAACTTGTATTTCTTTATTGAATGACTTCAGATTGAAAATGGTAAATGTTATGTTATTCTGGTGTCCTTGCCGTGATGTGTGAATATTGCTAAAAGTGGCATTAAACAATACTCACCCATCATCCATATTTGGACTATACACAATTTTATTTGTTTTGGTTACTTAAAATTGTAAATTTGTAGCGATATAAAAATATATGAATTTCATACCAAATGTAGCAATACAACATGATACAATGAGGCTTTGGAGTACAACACCACAAGTACAGCTACAGCATCCAGTATAAACACTACTCATACCTGAATATATGCTTCTCAATTCGACTGTACATCACTTACTTGATATCGGTGTAAGAATCTACAACGAAATGTCGCTCTTAATCATAATTCATCCATATATCATATCCCAACTTAATGAGGTTATGTACAATGAAACCTTATTCAATTACTTACTTGGGCGGTCGGGTAGCCTAGTGGTTAAAGCGTTCGCTCATCACGCCGAAGACCTGGGTTCGATTCCCGACATGGGTACAATGGGTGAAGCTCATTTCTGGTGTCCCCTGCCGTGATATTGCTGGAATATTGCTAAAAGCGGTGTAAAACCATACTCACTCACTCACTCTATGACTTACAATGCTAATCGACTAATATCCAGACTTGTTGCCATGCTGCTTATATGCTTCTGTTTCTCTGACCAGGTGAGGTATGGCCAACTACCGGTCAGATGTCCCTCCGTCCCCCAATCCGTCCATCCAGAGTGACCGGCGCAGGTCCCGAGCGGACAGCGTGCGAGCGTCCCGGAACAGCCTGGCCCGACAGAGCACAGGAAGCAGTATATATGGGTACCTGGTGGGAGGTCAGTAATTTTGTTGATAAGACATGATGTCAGTCATGATGAAGGTATTTTTCACATACCGTATTCGACGTAATAAGAGCCCAGGGCGCTCTCAAAATTAGAAATAGGGGGCTCTGTTATATTATTTCAGTGGAAACAAAACAGAGTTAAAAGATAACTTTAGTGGTTTATGCTGACAGCCTGAACTGTTTATGTACGACAGATATATTTTTCCAGAATTTAATTGCCCATAATCATGATAATTAAATGTGCATATAACACATGAGTGCGTATTATACGCAAATAAATAAGTCTTGTGTATATTGATCAATCGGAAGGGGTGCTAATTAGGATTGTTCATTGGCCAATATATTAGCAAATATCGCCGTGGGCGCTTATTAGAGCGGGGTGCTTATTACGTCGAATACGGTAATCATTGTTTATTATTTGACCGCCTCCGTGGTCTAGTGAAAAGAGCCCAGAGAGCGGGAGGTCAGTGGTTCATTATTCTGCCCATGTCATACTAAAAGATGTAAAAACATGGTACTTGTTGTTACCCTGCCTAAAACTTGGCATGAAGGGGATAAAACAAGGACTGGTTGTCTCGGAGTTGGTATAATGTGTATGAGTGAGGCATCATGTTAAACTGAAGCAGTGTACCTTAGCAGGCTAGCGCTATAAAACCAGCATACATGCACGTAGCTGTATAAGTGCACTAATCTTGAATGCGATGTTAAACTCCATTTCACCACACCTCACTGTATTATTTTACATCAAACATGATTATGATGGTTTTACTTTTGCTATGCTTATTATGAAGAATGAGAGAAGTGGATATAATCATCTAGTCATAGTTATCAGGCGATTGATATATAAATAACAATGGATTGTTTAAGTGAAATTGGTAGGGAATTTGTTTCCCATAGTATATTTCTTAGATATGATAGTGGTGATGATAATTTCTTCTTGTCAGGAAAGTGACTTTTTTATCTTGCTTTGCTGATAAAACATTAAAATTATGCGTCAATCAAGTGTTTTTCCAAAGTTTTTGATTGTAAGGAAAAACAGATATATTGAAATTGAAATATTAAGAGAATTCAGTTTGCTGAGCTCAATTTACCTCAAGAATTAGTACATATTCATCTTTAAGCTTGTCTGGAATGGTGCAGATTGACAGCAATGATATTATAGTTCCTATCCTTTCTGTTGCAGGAAGAGAAATTGAAGCCACGAAAATCCTTGAAGTGCTACAGAAGGGTATTGTCATATTGGCAGGTAAGGAAGAATAAAAGTCACATCAACAAGGGTCAAGGTTACGTTGGCAAGGGGAGCCAGTAGCATAAGGCATTGAAATTAACTTTACAGAGTTGTCTCCCTTTGTCGTGCCAGAATTGGCTTGTCATGGTTCTAATCCCAGATTCACCCCAGTTATGATCCTTGGTGTGTCAGTACAGATCCCATGTCTGTTGGTTTCATTAAGTGGAAGATGATGACACCGTGAAGATCCGGGGTAGAATAGGTCTTCAGCGACCCATGCTTACCATAAAAGGCAACTATGCCTGTCGTAAGAGGCAACAAACGGAATCGGGTGGTCATGCTCGCTGACTTGGTTGAAGCATGTCATCCTATTCCAATTGGATGGATCGATGCTCATGATATCAATCACTGGATTGTCTGGTCCAGAATCGATTATTTACAGATCAGCGTCATATAGCTGGAATATTGCTGAGTGCGGTGTTAAACAACAAACCAACCAACCAACAAATATAACAATTGCGACATGACGACTAAAAATAACTTTTGTAATCAGTTAATATAAACAGCCTTTGCGGGAATCAAAAAAATTGTCATCCTAATTTTAACTTCATTCCACATTGTAAAAAGTTAAAAGTCCACGGATTAACAAACATTAGGTGGTAACTGCCTTTTAATCTGGGTCACTTTAGGCTGACACATCACGAAAGATGGGACTTTCCTTTGAAAGTGTTCAATTTATTCTTTGATGTGAGGCATTTAAAAAAAACAATTCTAATTTACAATATGAAAATAATTTTATGTGTATGTAGCGTTTGGCTAAATTATCAGCAAAACTGTTTCATGAATGCAAGAGATAATTCATTACTTTTAATCTCATTATCATTAGCTGTCTGTTTAACCCCTTCAATATTAATGCCAACATTCTTGAGAGTGTAATCGTGAGGCGTGTTCAATCAGCTTCATCTACCACAACCACTTCCTAGTGTGAAGAACCGCATCAGTAATTCATGCCAACATTCTTCTCTATTGATTTGTTGCATTGGGAGGATCTGAGTCTGTGTATATGTGAGCTTTAAGTGACTTGAGGGCAGTAGGGTAGCCTGGTGGTAGAAGCATGGCGCATCACACCACAGCCCGAGTTTGATTCCGGGTACATTGTGTCAGCCAATTGTTGGTGTCCCTGCTTTATATTGCAGGAATATTGCTTTAACCTGGGTAATGCAAAATCCAATAGTCACTCACATGACTAAACAAATGAAAAATGAATTTGTTTCATTGTCCATTAGGGTCTGGTAATTTATTTTAAGGGGTGGTAGGCCGGTGTTATTAGTAAGGGGTAGGGGTCATGAAAACTGACACAGCATAATAGGGGGTACCTAAAATTTATCACAAATATATAAGGGAGGGGGGCATGAAAAAGTGACACCGTTCTATTTTTTCAAGTAAAGAGATTTAAAGTAAACATTTAAAGGTCTTTTAAGAACAACAACTCCAATGTAATTGAAGTCAATCACATTTGAGGGAGTAACTCTCAAAGTGATGCTGGTCATAATCTGAAAGAGAGAAAAGATTTAGAGTTACCTCCCTTACATAACATAGTTGAATAAGATGTGTCTCATAAGAGCGTTTTGTTTTAGGAATAAAATTCATAATTTCTCTCATGAGATTTGTATGAATGTTGGATATTGCAAAGTAGTTTTATGTTGTCTTAGAAATTTTACAGCATTATTATCCTGAGAACTTTAAGGTGATCATCTGAAAATCCGAAATTTTTACATTCCAGTATAAATGAACATAGCTTTGTCTCAATTTATTTTTATTGTTTTCAGGAGGTCGCGATCCTCAAGGAGGACCACTCATCACATTCCCAGCCAATGGGAAGCGAGGGGACTTCTCCCCTACTGACATCGCCACATGTCTCAAGTACCTTGCTCAGATACCCAGGTGAGGATTGTGACACATTGCAAGCTGTTGCCTGCTGTCTGGTCATCAGCATAATTAGAGAACCGGAAAGCCAATTAAACAGATCTCAAATAATTCCTGCACACCAGCAACTTGTAGATGTGACTTGCAAATATTACAGTGTTTAACTACACACAATGATACTGTCATGGTAAAAACTATCCCCCACGGTATTCAGTAGTATAAAAAGGGGTGGTCGGGTAGCCTAGTGCTTAAATCGTTCGCTCATCACGCCGAAGACCCGTGTTTGATTCCTGACATGATGGGTACAATGTGTGAAGCACATTTCTGGTGTCCCCCGCCGTGATATTGCTGGAATATTGCTAAACGTGGCGTAAAACCATACTCACTCACTCACTCAGTAGTATAAATTCCAAATGACGATTTTTAATTTTTTGGGGGGGGTGGGGTGGGGGGTTGATTTAAATGAATCCTTCCACATCAACTAGTGACATAACTGTACTATTGTTTGAAGCACTGTCAAGTCCAACTCACTCATTCACTGATTATTCAAAACGTAAGATTGATTTAACTGTTGTCTTGGGTCATCAATATTAATCATCCTGCTGTTGGTTTTGTTTCAGTGAGGAGTACAAGAGGCGTGGCTTCAGTATAGTGATTGACAGTCGAGATGGGTCCTGGTCTAATCTAGTCACTGTTCTAGGATGTCTCAAGGTCAGTGGAGTCAAATGTGTTCCATAGTATCGTCAGACTGAAAAATTAGGTAAAATGACATCATAATTTGTATCCGTCAACTATCTCTTTATACACTTGAATAATGATGAACATAAGTAACAAGCTTTTAAATAATTTGGAATGGGTTGGAAAAGTGGATCTTCATGGCCAGAAAAAAGCACAGAGAAGGGCAAGGAGCATTTCTTTTTGTGTTTTGGAGAAATACCTGCCATAAGTATGCAGAATTGAAAAATACAGTCGAACTTCATTGTCTTGAACTCTTGGGCGCAAGGGAAATTATAAGTATGACCAGGGACCATCTATTATATAGTTTCTGGTTCGACTTATCCAAGCTCACCACATCAAACTGCACCTTCTCAACCAATCACCTAATCATTGGTTTCTGGTCTTTGAGATTTCATGTCCTGTTGTGTTTAGGCCATTGTCATTGTACAAATTCTCTCTTGTAAGTTGAATTCTACTTATTCTTCTTATCAGGGTAACTTATTTTTCACTCTTGGGACTATGAATTGAGTTCAAGACAACCTGAAATCGACACATACAGTTCGACACATCCAGATAAAATAGTGATAAATATAGTGAGAGTTGCCTAGACCGGATTGTGAGTTTGACACAACCAGGGGTTCGACACAACTGAGTACAAGACAATGGGGTTTGATGATATTGCCCATACTTGTTATGGATTATGTTTGTGTTGTCAACAATCTCTGGGGAAGTACCTGAAGCAGGTGTCTGTCATCCTGATGTAGGGAGCAGGTCTTAGAGTGTTATAGCCAAGTCTTGTTATGGATTCTGTTTGTGTTGTCAACAATCTCTGGGGGAGTACCTGAAGCAGGTGTCTGTCATCCTGATGTAGGGAGCAGGTCTTAGAGTGTTATAGCCAAGTCTTGTTATGGATTCTGTTTGTGTTGTCAGCAATCCCTGGGGGAGTACCTGAAGCAGGTGTTTGTCATCCAGGCAGAGTATGACCGGCGGAACAGCCTGAGGAGGGAGAGGCCCTCCGTCAACATTGAGGTGAGTCCTATATCTTGTCTGTGTACATAGTGGGGCGTTCAGGTAGAGTTAATGTGTTTCAGTCCATAATCTCCATATAGATCCAGGGATGTGAAATCTCTGCGGAAACGTGAAAAATCACGTTTTTTAAAACAGTAGTCTTCTGAAAAAATCACCTTCCTCGTAAAAATATAATCAAAGTTTTTTTTTTAAATAATCCGAAAAGTATTATTGTGATTTCGGACAAGAGTCGCATGGATTGTCCTGTTTTCGATCAGAGCTTTCAGCAACCTTTATGCCTTTTTCGGACATCATACATTTTCTATCACGAATATTTGCACTATAATGTTGGGTGTTGCGTCACACAGAAAACTACTCAGATAATGGCTTGTTTTTAAGATAAACTTGTCCTTTAGCCAATAAGTAAATAAGATGTTTTACAGTTGTCCATGTGATTAGCAAGAAAACTATGAATGTTTCTTCAGCGTCCGAAAACGCATAACACGGGGATATATGTTGTATTTATGTCTTATGTTTACAATGTTGTTGACCCAGCAGGTGCGCGGAGGCTATTCCAGATTTTTTTTAAAGTACTAATTTAACTTCGAAATTTTACTGCATCTGCCAACTTTGTTTATTTGACATTAACTTTTGCCATTGACTTATTACATTTCTTGGTGTGAATGTTGTCCAAACTGCATGAAATAGCTTAAAAATGCAATCAAATGTTTAAAAAATTCCTCCCAGACCCCCTTAGAGTTTTCCTCTTTTTTTTTCTTTTTCGGAAAACCTGCTCACATCACTGTGGATCAGATATTATTTAAATTGATGTGGCAATGTTTGATTTGCCTTGCCCAGATTTACATATGGACATAATTTATATTGAATAATGCTGACTGGGTGTAAATCAAGATTCACTCACTCCCTTGCTACCCACTTCTACCCTCCCGAGGCAAGAGAGTTTACTGACTTTAAAAGTCCAGTTTCCACCCTTGCCGAACTAGGCTGAAATTACTGGGCTCGATCGTAGCGCCACCAGTGGCTATTACCAGTTATGTCCCTTCTAAGCCTCTCCTATGGACCAATCAGATTCCAACTCTCGTATCACTTGCGTTTGGTTCACACAAAATGGTGGCACCCAGTCAGGACAATCTGATCAATAATCAAGATCTATATTGTGATAAAACGGGTCTTACATCACGAAATGCATCAAATCACATGAGCACCTTGATTAAAAACATGAATAGATTTGGAATAATATCTGTTGACAACGAGTCGGCGGTGCACATGCTTTGCAAATACTGCAGTCGATCGAATTCTTCACGACAGTCTACGAACCGGATTTCGTTTTTGGTGCGCGATTTTGATTGGACAGACTATGCATAGACTCTTTAGTCCAGCCAAAATGTAACTCCATAATACCAGCCTAGTTCGGCAAGGGTGGAAACTGGACTTTTATAGTCAGTTAACTGTCTTGCCTCGGGACGATGCTTCTGCACTGAAGCTGACTCACTCACTCCCAGTACAATTTAATCAATGAACATTTTATGTTTCAGCCCTTGTTTGTTTCGGTACCCAAACTGCATGAGTACATAGACAGGAACCAGTTGACAACAGACATTGGAGGCTTTCTACCATACAACCAGAAAACATGGCTGCAGAACAGACTGGTCAGTAACGCAATATGCAATATGCATTGTGTTCAGTATATCAATATAATCAACTTATCAGGTTTCACTGAAGTGGTAAATGTCTGAGATCTGCATCACTTCCACTTTCCTCCCACATTAAGCTGACACGCCGTGATATAACTGGAATAATGTTCAAAGCGGCGATAAAATCAAATCACTCACTTACTCACTAATCAACTTTATCTCCTACTGTTGAAAATTCAATGAAGCAATAGATGTGTAATGCTCTATTCGAGCTAACCCTAAAAGTTTAGATTATGTCAGATCCTAAAAATGTCCAAAACATGGTCTTTTTATGAAAGTGACTAATAAGTTTCTTATTACTAGAGTAACAGGGAACAAATACAAATCAGTTGTTGAAACAAAACAAATTTTTTTTATCAAAACATATTTAAAGGCATGTCTTAAAAGCATGATTGGTAGGGTGAAATAAACAGAATGTATTAAAACAACCTGTTTTTTGGCGTACATGTTTCACTGATTGACATATGGAATTACTCCCCTTTTTATATTCATCTGGGGCAAGTTTGGCCCCTTCATCTAATTCACAGTGCAGAGTTATGTCCCTTAGGTGTGTGACAAACTTGTTAATAGCAGCATTAAACTGATCTCACACACTCTCATATCCATCCACCTTAACAGGATTTTGTTTTACTGAAATGGTTAACAGTCTTGGAAAGAAGGAATGTGTTTCCTAAAATGCCTGTTTTTTTTGCAGGATTTAGAGCGGTTCCTGCAGGACTGCCAGGATGTGGTGCAGCATCTGGACCAGGAGGAGGTGCACATCCAGCAGACTTACTCCCGCCAGGACCCCCAGATGAGCCCCATCGAGGCCCTCCGCCAGCACCGCTACTTCCAGGAATCTATCATGGTCACTCCACAGCAAGTCATCAGCTCCGGTGGGTTCAGTCTTAGGGTTCTGTAACTGTGATGACTTTGAGTGTACCAGTTGTGATCCATTGTGTTTCCATTTCTATAACATCCAGTGATATCATGCAGTTTCTGTAACAGCCAATAGTTAGTGATATCAGTTTTTGACAGCCATTGATGTCAGCTTCTTATTGATCTAGTTTCTATAACAAGCAGTGACATCAGTTTCCATAACATCCAGTTTACATGACAGCAAGTACTCTCGGTGACACTGTTGTCTGTTATCTTCTATAAACACACCATCATGTCTCCCAGGTAAGGACCTGCTGAATCGACTGCAGTATGACAGTGGTCAGGGCAGCTTCAGGTCGGAGGATGAGGTGATCCCGACCTTGGACAACCTGGAGGCCCAGAAGCAGACAAAGCGGGTGATCCAGTACCTGGAGAACCGGGTGGAGAAGCTGCAGGACTACCTGGACGACCGGGACAAGTACCTCAACCTCAGCATGAAGTACAGCGAGTGGAAGAGGAAAGTCAAGTCTGTGAGTACACTCTTCCAGATGCACGGTGCATCCTTTCTTCAGACACCTAACTTGCCAACTCATATGTTTTGGTTCACTCTGGACTTGGGTACTTGTGCACCATCCTATTTTAGAAATCGACCAGTGGAGTGTCTTCACCATTCAACAAGAGGTTTGGATGTTTCATAGTGAGCAAGGTCAGATCCGTGTCAACAGAGGGAGCAAATTATTATGAAGCTGTCCGATAAGGTAGCCAGGGGCTTCCTGTTCTAATGTTCAGAGCTTGTGTTTTCAAACCAGAAATATTGTCTTTAGACATAGCATATAACTTTCTTTCAAAAGAAGTAAAAGAAACAGGCTTTTTAGGTCATGTGTTTTCTCAAACCACAAGCAATGCCTTAAGACTGGCCTTGCATTGAGGTTCCTCATTATGTCAGCAAGAGGCTAAGTACTTTAATGTGGCTTCAGGTTGAAATGAGCATGTGTGTCCTCAACCTGAAGGTAACTGGAAATATATGGCAGTATTTCGTGATTCCTCAAGCTTCCTGGAAATGCTTGTGCATCTTTACCTATAGTGGTTATAGTGATCTAGTTTGTAATGGACTTTCACAAAGCAAATGTACAGTTGATTGAACTGAACTTGTATCATTTCCAGGTGGTGGACTGGGTTCTCGGGCCAGGAGAGAAGCTCCTTGCAACACAGACAGATATTGGGGACTCATATGAAACTGCAGAGGAACTCAGGAAACGTCATGAAGAGCTGCAGATCAAATGCACAGTAAGGAAAACTCTTCTAGAATATAGCATCTCTTGAGAACTGTACAATGATGTCATGTCTTGCTGCTGGGTTCACACAGAGAGTGTGCTGGAAGATTTGTGATAACATGTGTTGTCAGTTTTGCAGATGTTATTGATGCAGGGAAATTTGTACATTCATAAACTTCTAACACCATCGGTTCCATGTAAATTTTCCCAGGTATCAAATACCAGTAAATCTGAAAACACATACTTTTACTTCCTTAGTTTACCACAGCTGAGAGTCCTGCTAACATCTGAGTTTATGTATGACTGTGTTTCCAAGGACACCTATGGACAGTATGCTGAGCTTCGTCACGAGGCGGAGGAGATGATGAAGGACGGGGGCTCCCTGACGGCAGACATCCGAGCACAGCGGGACTACATGGACACCGTGTGTCGGAGTCTGGCCAGTAGGCTGGAGCGGAGACGGGTTCTCCTCATCACCTCCGTCAGGTTCCATCGACTCGCAGAGGAGGTAGGCTTGCTGCAAGAAACTTCACGGCATACCAGGGTCTCATTTCACAGTGACGTTAGTGCTAAGACCAGAGATACTGACCAGTAGGATTTTGGTGGTATCTTTACCATAATTTACACCAAATTCTACCAATATAATGCAATGTATATTTTCACATATTGTCAAAAACATTACCACTAGTTTTGACACTGGTTATTGACACCAATATCATATCAGCTTCGTTAACCATATTTACAAAATAACAATAATCAAATTATTGTATTCTTGGCCTTGGAAACTTAGTGCATTGCTATCGTGAGTTTGAAAAATCGAACTTTAAGAAACTGGTTTCAGTTGGCAATGCTTTCCAGTGCAATTTGTGGTTGTATTTTTCTCTGCCCTGTGGTCAAATCCAGTCTCTCATGACTAGTTTAATGTACAACCAACTACAACCCAAACTGGAAGGAAGGGCATTTACGAAAAGAGGGCTGTGACAAAACAAAAACAGAAACAAAATAAATGAAATGGTGCTGAGTAATGTCCAAGACGGTCAGTGATGCTGATTGTGATTACTGATCTATTTTAATAGTGAAACCAATAGTGAAACACGATTAAAGATGATGTTGATAAATACTCATGCAGTTAACTACTGGTTTGTCGGGCGAGACTCAATTATTACAGACTGTTTGATATATACAGACAGTTTGATATATACAGACAGTTTTATTTAAACAGACTGTTTGGCATAAGAAACATTCAGTCATCCAGTCACTGGAAATGTCATTAATAGTTATGCATGGATGTTACAATTGCTTTAAAAGATGTACAATGATCTTCTTCCAAATGTAGTTTTCGCGGCGCCTGGACAACCTGTTGGAGCTGCTGTGTACTGATGTAGTTGCTGAAGATGTGGAGAGTGCGGAGGAGGCCCTCAAGAACCTACATGAACAGTGTGATGGGATTGGTAAGCTATTCTTCATTTTACTGAGCTACTGAGGGGAGCCAGGATTCTGAAAAATGAGGAAGTGTGCACTACCCTAGTCATGAACTGAACAAAGGCACAAGGAGGGACTGACATAGTTTGCACCCCTCGACCCCTACCTCTGGATCTGCAGGTGGACTACATTCACCTTGACTGATCCCAAGAAATGCCCCTGTTGAAGAGACATTAAAAACATACCTGTTTTTGAGAGCCGGTAGAGCACTTCCTAAGTGTCAGTATTGATCAGTACAGCAAACCTGTAAATGTTATGAGATAGTATTGAGAATGTTACAAATGTGGTGTCATGTTGACTTTTCATTGTTTATGAGAGTTAAGCATAATGTCTTTCAGTGAATCTTAACTCTCTCTTCCTCTGCAGATGACTCTGCACAGCAAGCACTGAATGATGGCCAGAGTCTTCTGGATGAGATGTCCAGGCCAATTAAAGATGCTTTTGGCAAGGACATCTCCCCGGACTACAGCGGCCAGATCAAGTACATAACAAAGAAGCTGGAGGAGCTCCAGGAGAGGAAGTTGAGGTGTGATGAACTGGCCGATGTCCGCAAGCTGAAGCTCCAGCAGATACTGCAGCTGAGGACCTGCGAGAAGGATGCAGATCAAGTAAGTGTCCATCAGATCCTGCAGCTAAGGTCTGCGAGAAGGATGCAGATCAGGGTGAGGGTCCATCATATCCTGCAGCTAAGGTCTGAGAGAAGGATGCAGATCAGGGTGAGAGTCCATCAGATCCTGCAGCTAAGGTCTGCGAGAAGGATGCAGATCAGGTAAGTGTCCATCAGATCCTGCAGCTTAGGTCTGTGAGAAGGATGCAGATCAGGTAAGTGTCCATCAGATCCTGCAGCTTAGGTCTTCGAGAAGGATGCAGATCAGGTAAGTGTCCATCAGATCTTGCAGCTTAGGTCTGTGAGAAGGATGCAGATCAGGGTGAGGGTCCATCAGATCCTGCAGCTAAGGTCTGCGAGAAGGATGCAGATCAGGGTGAGGGTCCATCAGATCCTGCAGCTAAGGTCTGCGAGAAGGATGCAGATCAGGTAAGTGTCCATCAGATCCTGCAGCTTAGGTCTGTGAGAAGGATGCAGATCAGGTAAGTGTCCATCAGATCATACAGCTCAGGTCTGCGAGAAGGATGCAGATCAGGTAAGTGTCCATCAGATCCTGCAGCTTAGGTCTGTGAGAAGGATGCAGATCAGGTAAGTGTCCATCAGATCCTGCAGCTTAGGTCTGCGAGAAGGATGCAGATCAGGTAAGTGTCCATCAGATCATACAGCTCAGGTCTGCGAGAAGGATGCAGATCAGGTAAGTGTCCATCACATTCTACAGCTCAGGTCTGCGAGAAGGATGCAGATCAGGTTAGGGTCCATCACATTCTACAGCTCAGGTCTGCGAGAAGGATGCAGATCAGGTTAGGGTCCATCACATTCTACAGCTCAGGTCTGTGAGAAGGATGCAGATCACATAGGAAGGAGGAACATCAGGCATTGGATGTCATAGTGTGTTTCCCTGGGATTACTGTACATTTATTGTACATTTATTGACAAGGGGTGCTTCTGTCCCGACAGGACTTAATCACCTCAATTTATTAATTAATTAAATCATTCAATTCTATGATTACACTGAAGACATTTAAAACCACATGTATTCATGTTGTTTGTATGAGCAAATGTAACATGCGCACATATGTGACTGTGACTTCAGGCAATAGACTGGATCCTGGAGCTGTGTGATGTGATGGTGACAACCCACACGGACATGGGGCGGACGCAGGAGGAGGCTGAGACGCTGCAGGAGGAACATCGCACCTTTGAATCAACTGCTGCAGTACGTTCACTAGGATTGCCCTTTTGGGGATATTTCGGGGCAGAATGTCCCCAGTACCTTATGCTGATCACAAGAACCAATCAGTGTGGATTGAGTGGTTACCATGTCATGATTGTGTAGCATCATGCATGAACTCTTGAATCAATGCTCATGCTTTCAGTCACCTGTTTGTCTGATCAAGACTTGGTTCTGTACATGTCATTATGATAAGGCTGGAATATTGCTCACCTTGGCAGAAGACAACATTCACTCACTCACCTACCTGTGGTCGGGATAACAGTAGTTGTACATGTATTTGGACACGTGTGCCAAAACGAAGCCTATTTGCACCCATCCTGTGGTTTAAGGCACAGAGTTGCTTCCCTTGGATGCCAGGATCTGCTGGTTGTTACTTCAAATCTTTTTTTGTCTCATTGTGTTGAAGGGTCATCACATATATGATTTTCATTTCTCCTGAATATGATAAAATGAATGAGTAAGAGTTTAATGTTGAATGCAGACATAAGAAGATTACATAGCTTGTTTTGTACACAGTATTTTTATTTGATTTGTAAAAGAAATATTATTTATTTATGGTATGATTTTATCAGGGAACATATGACTACGGAAAGCAATTGTTGCAAGCTGCCTTGGTGTTGAGACGATCACTGAGATATGACCTTGAACCAAACAATCAGCGTGCCCAGAGACTGGAATATGCCTGGAAACGGTTCACTCAGGGAACAAGTGAACGAGCCAACCGACTCACTGTGTCAGCCATGTTTCTCTCATCATGTGATAAGGTAGGCCACATAACTGTTTCTGATGGACATATTAATTTAAATTAAATTGACAATAATACTTAATGAAGGTATAAATTGATTTTATTTCACATTCATTTATTGCTTGGTAGGAAATGTAAATATATATACTGATCCAAAAAAGTTAGGGATCATGATTTCTTTTGGGAGGTGGGGGGGGGCGGTTTTATAGTGAAGAAAATACAATATTTCATAAAATCATGCCCCCCAAATATTGATGATTCTAACTTTTTTGTTCATTATATAAAGTCATACTGATGCACTGTTCCTAAAAACATCCCCCCCCCAAAATATTGATGATCATAACTTTTGTGTTCAGTATATAAAGACATTCTGATGCCCTGAACCTCTGTTTGTAGTGAGCCATCTAAAGTGTCTGTAGTGTATATGCTTCAGTTTAGCATCTTGGTATTGTATGATTAGGGGGATTTGTGGTATTTTGTGTTTTATTATATTGACATGACTTATGAAGACTCAGGCTGCTGGACCCGTGAAGATCCGTGGTAGAATAGGTCTTCAGCAACCCATGCTTGCCAATAAGGCGACTCTGCTTGTCATAAGAGGCGACTAAAGGGATCGGGTGGTTGGATGCAGGTCATCGTATCCCAATTGCGTGGATCGATGGTCATGATGTCAATCACTGAATTGTCTGGTCCAGACTTGATTATTTACATACCACCATCATGTAGCTGGAATATTGCTGAGTGCGGCGTTAAACCACAAACAAACAAACATGGGCTGCTGTCTTATAGAATTGGTCCCCAGCAACGTATGCATGTCATAGGATCAGGTGGTCAGGCTTGTTGAAATGGTTGATTCTGTGTTATCGTAACCCAAAGCTATGGATCAAAACTCTTATATCAGTCAATGGTTTGTCTGCTCCAGACTCATTTACAGCAAACTGTCATGGAGATGGAATATTGCTGTGTGTGGCATTCAACAACAACAAAATCATATAGCACTTATGGCATAGAGAAAAGTAAAAAAACAGCTTGTACCGAAACCCTCAAACCATTGATGAGAGTTTTGCTGACAATTTTATTTACACTCCAGGTCCTATGGGGTCTATAAATTTAGTAAAACTGTTTGGATTATGTCTCTTCTGAAGAATGAATGTAATTTGTGTTTCAGCTGTTTGACCGAATTGAGGAGATCCTGGTGGTGATCAGCCAGGCGTTGGGCCGGGAGGTTCCTATAGACGAAGTACTAGTGCAATATACTAAACCCAAGAACACCCTGCTGGCGGACTGTGCCGACACTACACAGATGGGGAAAGCCTTGCTGGACAGACTAGCACTGCCAGTCATCATGTTGGATGAGTGAGTTGATTGTCGGAGTGCTTAAATAATGTCCTAACATAAACCCTCTTGCGATCCTGGTGAATCGTGAGTTTGACTTTATGCCTTTTTCAGCAATGTTGCAGACATATGGCAGGGGACACCCAAGAATGGGACTTACATTGTACCCATTAGGTTAGTCAAACCCTGGTCTTCGGGGTGATGAACGGACACTTTAGTGAGTTAAGATTTAACATTGCATCAGCATTATTTCAGCGGACACTTTAAGCACTAGACTAGATTGCATCTTTAATTAAGCAATGGAGGACTCATTTCTGAGGGTGTTGGGGTAAGCTAGTGTTATGATCCTATCACTTTGAATACTGGATCAATTCCCCACATAGGTTCACTCTGTGAACCCAACCATTGGTCCAGCTTGTGATGTAGTTGTAATATTTGGAAAGGGGACACCAAGAATAGGATTCACACGTGTTGGGAGTTGAACCCAGGTTTTAGGCACGACAAGTAAATGCTTTAACCACAGAGCCAACCTGTCCTTAGGAAATATGTCTTTTCCACCTATGCTTGTTGTAAAAGGTGACCAATTTTGTGTGTCTCTGCATCCAGATGGCATGGATCATGCTTACAACTCTCTTAAAAGTTAAGGTGTGAAATATTATATAGCGCCATGATGTGGAGCTGTAATATTGCTGTCATACACCATCTGAAATAATTTAATGGATTGAATAAGACTACAATGTCCATTAAAGATCATTAACTCATTGCAAGTGACAGCATGATTAACGCTTTACATTTGTTTTCTTTCTTTTCAGAAATGATCGGAGATTGAGCATAAATGAGGAGGGAACAACTGACACCATTAATCACAAGTTACGGAAACTTGACCGCAAAGTTGGAGACTTGGAGAAATATTGGGCCGAACTTGAAAACAACCAAAATAATCCTGATTACAAGCCAAAACTTAGAAGAACCCCATCCTCAAGAACAAGGTTACCAGCCGAAACAGGACAAGCGCCACCTCGAAGAAAATCTAGCAAACGCATTCGACCTAAACCGCTTCCAAGAGGACAACAATCTCAGCGTGATGGGTCCACGTACCCTGATAGCCCAGGTTCATCATCTCATGGCTCGCCAAGTAGAGTGTACCCGTCCTCTGAACAGGGCTCGCCTGCAGGTCGGGGATATCCTGCAGGGTCACCTCAAGGTTACCCTGCAGGATCAGCCCAGGGTTACCCCGCAGGATCAGCTCAGGGTTACCCCTCAGGATCAGCTCAAGGTTACCCCGCAGGATCAGCTCAGGAGGGGATACATCCTGTGGCATATGCGCGGGTAACTCAAGGACATTCACAAGCATCACCTGGGTTCTCTCCGAGTGGTCGAAGAGGGGGCAATAGGCCTGTCACTAATGGATACTCAGGTAAGGGGTTTATTTACTGTAGGTGAGGAAATATAGGATAAAGCACGCCTCCAAGGTTTTGGTTGAAATGTAAAACCATGAAGTCAAGGTTTTACATTTTCAACTAAAACTGAAGAGGCATGTTTTATCCAAATTATGAAGCAACTAAATGCAAGAAAATCCAGAAAAAATGAAAACATAGACATACCTTATAGTGAAACAATACAGTGTGTTGCGGTATAAAAGGAATTCGCTCAAAGTGTGCGAGAGAAAAAACATGCAGCATGGACTAGCTGAAGTCATGACATGATAAACTGAACAACTTATCATCACCTGCCCCGGTAGCTTAGTGGTAAAACAGTGGGTTACAAAACATAACACAATATGTGAAGTTGCAGGTTCGATTCACATCATGGAATTTTCATGTTAAAAAGAAATTGTGACTTTTAACCATTCATCAAACACAATTGTATTCACATCAAGAGGCAAGTTTATAAAACGTTAATTGTAAAACCAAGGTATTACAGTTGCAATGTATTCATCAGGCCCCGGGCATTGTTGATACAGCCTTCCTTGGAAGTTTATCCACATTTAGAAGAACCTTCTGTTACTGTAGTGTGACGTCATCAGAGGTTTATAAGTTTTGTTCATAATGTCCCCAGTGTTTCATGCATGTCGTAAGAACCACGGATCAGGTGGTTAGACTGTGACCTGGAGGTTTGAATGATATCATGATATGCATATTCGCTTGTAGGTTTGCCCAGTGGTTTCCATGTGGGTTTCACCCCCATTTACCTGGCACACTGTAATATAACTGAAATACTGTTCAAAACAGTGTTAAACCAAAACCCACTTGAGCACACTCTCACTAGCATTTAGCTGACCCTTAACTGATGCTGTTGAAGGTGGAGGAGAGCCCCAACTCACTCACTCACTCACTCACTCACTCACTCACTCACTCACTCACTCACTCACTCACTCACTCACTCACTCACTCACTCACTCACTCGTTATTGCAGGTATGGGTGACCAGCTTGACCACAGCCAAGGGTCTGAGAGGGAAGCTCCAATCCAGCCAGTGTCAGTCCAGCTTGCCAATACTCAATATGTCCAGTCACAGCCACCAGAGGGCGCTGAATTACAAAGAGAGTTAGAAGAGGTGAGATTTATGGTTCAATTCTGAACACTACCGGTATCTTTTGCTGATTGACAAATCAGTGTCCCAATTACAAATCAAGCAAACAGTATACAGGGTCCGTCTGCACAAAATGATTGTAAGCCATCAGCCTTACTTAATATAGACTTACAATGATCAAAGCACTTTTGTGCCATGTGCAGGTGGTCCCAGGATTAGAGTTCTGCATGTTCGCCCCTCTTGACTGTTTTGTATGTTTCTCATTTTTTTCTCTCTCATAAATCAACATCCGGCTCAGACTTTAGGAACACATGGGATGTCTGTGTCATGAACACATGGGATATATGTGACATGAACACATGGGTTATCTGTGTCATGAACACATGGGATATATGTGTCTTAAACACATGGGATATATATGACATGAACACATGGGATGTCTGTGTCATGAACACATGGGATATATATGACATGAACACATGGGATGTCTGTGTCAGGAACACATGGGATATATATAACATGGGATATATGTGTCTTAAACACATGGGATATATATGACATGAACACATGGGATGCCTGTGTCATGAACACATGAGATATCTGTGTCATGAATGCATGGGATATATGCATCATAAACACATGGGATATATGTCATGAACACGTGGGATATATGTGTCATGAATGCATGGGATATATGTGTCATTAACACATGGGATATATGTGTCATAAACACATGGGATATATGTTTCATGAACACAAGGGATATCTGTGTCATGAATGCATGGGATATATGTGACATGAACACATGGGATGTATGTGACATGAACACATGGTATGTCTGTGTCATAAACACATGGGTCACTGTGTCATGAATGCATGGGATATATGTGACGAACAAATGGGATATATGTGTCATAAACACATGGGATATATGTGTCTTAAACACATGGGATATCTGTGTCAGGAACACATGGGATGTCTGTGACATGAACACATGGGATACATGTGTTATGAACACATGGGATATATGTGTCATGAACACATGGGATATATGTGTCATGAACACATGGTATATATGTAACATGAACACATGGGATATATGTGTCATGAACACATGGGATATATGTGACATGAACACATGGGGTGTCTGTGTCATGAACACATGGGATATGTGTCATGAACACATGGGATATATGTTACGTAAACACCTCAGATATATATGTGTCATAAACACATGGGACATATGTGTCATAAACACATGGGATATATGTGACATGAACACATGGGATATATGTTACATGAACACATGGGATATATGCATCATAAACACATGGGATATATGTGTCATAAATACATGGGATATATGTATCATTAACACATGGGTTATCTGTATACACACAGATATACGGTTTATCATAAGCTTGCACCAAGACGAGGCAATCAACACCTTACTTTCCTAATCTCATTTTCCTGCATAACTTGCTCAGGGAATATGGGATCAAGCCAAATTGTTTGTACAGATATTACGAACAAAGACAGGCAGTCAGAAGATAAACATTCCCTTCCAACTTCTTTCCCCAAGCCCCTTCCTATATTGTTAACTTCAGTTCTATTATTCTGCCACTAACACAAACAATTGCCAATTCTGTCATGTCTATCTGATGCAAGGGTAATTCTCGTGTCAATATCATGTTCACAGCAGGATCAAAATTGTTTTATAAATAAACATTTTCTATGGCCTGTTTAATTTTGCATATTCTGATAAGAAATATTTTGTCTACATGAAAAAGTTGTTTTTTGAATTGTGGTTAGTTTTATGTTAAACATGCCCACCCTCACTCATTGCCATGTGCCACAAATCATGATGTCACAGTTTTTTGTGTACACAGATTTCCTCAAGCTCCAAACATGCAGTACTACTTCTTTCACTGTAAGGAGATCAGGAGTTTCTCAGTCACTAGAGTACACTATCTTCAATATTCACAGCTAAAACTTCATGATGTAAGAGGGGTGGTCGTGTAGCTTAGTGGTTAAAGCGTTAGCTCATCACGCCGAAGACCCGGGTTTGATTCCCGACATGGGTACAATGTGTTAAGCCCGTGATATTGCTGGAATATTGCTAAAAGCGGTGTAAAACCATACTCACTCACTCACTCACTCATGATGTAAGAAACAAATATTTTAGCTGTCTTTATAGGAATCCATTGTTAGGCTCAAAATGTTCTTAGAGTTGAGTATTAATGTCGGGAGTAAAGTTTAGCGTGTGTTGAGGATGTTTCAGAATGACTTTCCTCCTATAGGATTGGTTGGATTGGTTTGTTGTTTAACGCCACACCCGGCAATATTCCAGCTACATGACAGCGGTCTATAAATAATCGAGTCTGGACCAGACAATCCTGTGATTGATACCATGAGCATCAATCCATGCAATGGGGATTGATGACATGCATCAACCAAGTCAGCAAGCCTGACCACCCAATCCCGTTAGTCGCCTTATACGACAAGCATTGTCGCCTTTTACGGCAAGCATGGGTTGCTGAAGATCTATTCTACCCCGGATCTTCACGAGTCCTGCCAAAAGGAGGCAAGTAGGATAAACGAAACTGACCTTGTACATTGATATATAAAGGATATAAAGATCTGAAGGATCCAGAAAATGTTTAGAACATTTTGTTAACTAAATCAGTGGTTGTGGCTGAATTAATTTAATTTCATTTAATTTATCACAGATTACAATTTCACGATTAGTTTGGCTTTAAACTGTAGAATTCTTGAAAAATTGACAAGATAAGACCAGCCAACTGTGTGAATTTCACTACTGGGAAGTATATTCCTGCCAATTTTGGCTGTTTTTGCACCTCTGGCTCACGTCTTTGTAAGTTAAAGAACCATTCAGTTTCCTATGCCTCATTTCCACTGCCGATTGCATGCCAATGAAGTTTAAGGCATCCGTGATTCAATACGTGCCACCTGTAGCGTACACAGGGCTAAAACATTGCACAAGACTTAGTCAGAGTGGGTTGGATTGCTCATGAATCTGTGTGATAGAACCTGGTGCTTGGTCAGCCTGTGGTAGTGCACTGTGTAGTGATATGTTGGTAGCTGGATGGATGGTCGCGGGAGGAGATACAGGTGACCAGTTGACTAAGGTGCTGCAATTCACTGTACAGAGGTGCATCCTTTAGCTGTGCCAGGATTCGATGATAATACCACTCACTCACTCACTCACTCACTCACTCACTCACTCACTATCTCACTCACTCACTCACTCACTCACTCACTCACTCACTCACTCACTCAACCACTCACTCACTCACTCAACCACTCAACCACTCACTCAACCACTCACTCAACCACTCAACCACTCACTCAACCACTCACTCAACCACCAACCCCGCCCACCCAACCACCCACTCACCCATCCACTCACCGACCCACCCACCCACTCACCCACCTACTCACACACTCACTCACCCACCCAACCACCCACCCGCCCACCCAACCACCCACCCATCCACTTACTGACCCACCCACTCACCCACCCACTCACTCATCCACTCACCGACCCACCCACCTACTCACACACTCACTCACACACTCACTCACACACTCACTCACCCAACCACCCACCCACCCACCCATCCACTCACCGACCCACCCACTCACCCACCCACTCACTCACACACTCACTCACCCATCCACTCACCGACCCACCCACTCACCCACCCACTCACCCACTCACCCACCCATACAGATATAAGTACATGTTTATTAATGCACCCAACATTCTGAATACTGTTTGATAGCATGAAGCCTTACATGTAAACATTGCAACCTGCTGTTCACCTATTATAAGCAGTCTATGCAGGCGAACTGGTTTCAGAAAAGATGTCCTTAAAGAATATATGAATACATATGAATAATCTAAATTGTCTCCATTAATTACATCAAAATGAATAAAGAAAACATATCAAAACATATAACCATGTTCCCTGCCAGGCAGGCAGCTAGATGTTTTTAGACAGGTAGTCAAACATATAGTCCACAAAATTAATTAAAGTACAACGTTGAATAAAAATTATTCTGTAAAGGAACCCATGAGTATTAAGTCTCTTTATTCAGTGGCATCGGAATGAGTATGGGCTGCTAGAGCAGAGAATGGGATGAGAGTGGATGGGGATTATTCTTTTATTTATTATTTTCTCTTGGGTCTATAAGTGTACTAGTAATCAGGTATTGTGGAGTCTGTCCGGTATGTGTGATGCATTAGTCACAGCTACAAATAGCCTGTCGGAAGTAGGGGTGTCTGTCTGCCAGGCTACGCTGCTCCATCTTGGAGAGATGCCCAGGCTCCAAGATGCCCAGACTTTCTACAGTCCATTTTCATCTAGTCCCTTGATATTATTACATAATCCTGACAAAATGGTTGAATCTCCCACTGCTTAATGAGATATTAAGGACTTAGACTGAGAAGTTATGGATGAATGGCTATGTTATGAGACACATAAATAATTCTTCAGAACATGCAATGTGATGGGTGAATGATGTGGGCTTGACAGGAAGACTCACCACCTCACGAGAGGCTCGGAGATACATTGGAGATGAATCGTTCGTCTTGCCATCACCACTTCCTGTTCTCAGCATCTGATGTTTGTCAGAAGAGCTGACTAAATGACTATAATTAGTATCACATTATTGTCCTCAAATTTTACGTGACAGCCAGTTATAAAAACTAGTATTGGAATATATTATTCCTGATAAAATAATAATTCAGATGCATTTCTTCCGACCATTGCATCAAAATTCTTTGAAGTTGTATCATTGGGTACTTTTTAACTGAATCACCGGTAGATTGGGAGGAAACGTGTGCACAGCTGATTTCCGGCTTAGTTTACGAGAAAATACATGTACACACGGTAATCTTGATCTCTGCATATAAAACAATGCCTTGGAGAGCAGGAAATACATTTTAAATTTTAAATCATCATGTCTAGTGATGTTTCATATCAAATTTCATACTTTTA